CCGGCGGAAACCCCTCCGACGCTCAAGTCAGATGTATGGATCGTAGAGAGAGTAGAGAGAATAAAACTTGAGGTGAATTGTCAATAATGAGAACGTACCTTTACAAATGAATAAAACTTCTATTTATATGTCGTTGATTGAGTTGGGCTTATTTTGTTGGGCCCAAGCCTTATTTTGAAGGTGCTTGGGCTTTCGTGTAATGGGCCCGAATACTTTCGTGTATTGGACCTAATTGTTAAATGAATTGGGGCCCATTGGGTCGGCCCAATTAGGTATATCATTAAGCCCCCCAACTCTCGATTCGAGATGGGGACTTGTCTAGAGGTATCCGGGTCGTGTCGAGAGTTAATTGCGTCGTCTATTGAATTGTTTCCGTTGGTGGTGAAATAATTTCTTAATTTAAATAAGGGATTATTGTATTTATTTGGCAGCCAAGTATATATTTAAGGGTTTTAAATAATATACTAGGGCCAGATTAATAGACTCCTTTTGCGGTGCGAAGCGTTAAACTTCAATTCCTACGAAATATCTATGGGTATGTATTTTTAATTCTCAATCTTCTTCTGTGCTATTCTTCTCTTGAAAAATATTTTTTGCGGTAGAGTAGAAAATCTATTGTTTTCTTGATTGCTTCTCTGGGGAAAAATATTTCTGATGTCGAATTCGGGTAATTCGAAATCTTTGCGAATTAAACTTCGAGATCCGGTTGGAGGGGGCAGGAAAACCTTTGGGACGGTGGGTGTGGAACGCGAGAAACTTGTGGTATCGGGTGCGGAAATCGGATCCGCAGTAGAAGATGCACGGAATTTTGTGCAGATGAGGGAGAAAAGGAGGGCTGCCGCTGGCTTGAGCCGCGCCGGAAGCCGGGTAAATTTGTGTGTGGGCGCGCGCGTCGAGGCGGCTTTGGACCCGAGTGGAGCTGATGAGCCGCCGGCTTGCTCGAAGAACGAGGAGAGAGGAGAGAGAAACAGCGGGCATCGTGGGCCAGCTGTCTCTGGAGGCGCGTCGGAGGTGGGGCAACGCGCGCGCGGGATTGGACCGTGTCCCGACGCGCGCGTGCTGGTTGGTGGAAGTAGCAGTTCTGATGCGCGCGCGCTGCCCAATCAAGGGGCGCGTGCGCGCGCATCGGTGGCGGATGGTGGGGGTGCTGGTGACGCGCGCGCGCTGCCCAATGTGGGCGCGCGTACGCGCGCGTCGCTGGAGGGTTTCGGGGCGCGTGAGCGCGCGTGTGTGGCTGGGGAAGAGCCACGTGGGCTAGCTGTACTGGGGGACGCGCGCGCGCGTGATTCAGCCCCTTTTGGGGTCGCGCGCGCGCGTGAGGGCGCGTGTGAAGTTGGTTTCGGGCTCGGTTCGCGCGAAATTAACGGGCAAATTTCCGAGGGTGCTAATGTGCGTGATGTTTTACATGGGGAAAGTTTTGGTCGGTGAGAAATCATTGAATCGTGGAGTGACGATGTAGAAGTGCATAAGGATATTACTATTCCCCCTACCGTTGATGAAGTGGGTTCTAGTAGACGTCATTATAGGCGTCAAGTCGTGGATTTTGGGAGTGATAGCGATGATTCTAACCAATCGCCTTCGCCGAGTGAACATGCGGTGGCGAGTAGTGAAGGTGAGCCGATTGTCGAGGAGGAGGAGGAAGATGATATTCCGCTGGGTGATGTTGAGGTTGATAGTAGAAGGCAAAAGAAAAAGAAGCTAATTAATTTGGACTTAGTTGATTTTGATAGTGTGTTGACGGAAGAGCATCTGCACTCTATTCGTCGTTTATCTAGAGCGCCAAGTAATGTTGAGTTGTTGTTGCCTCAGAAGGGTGACCGTTTGTATTCGCCACCCGATGGATTTCATACGGTGTTTTTGGGTTACTTGACGTGTACCTCTCAGATTACACCGCATCCGACCTTGTTGAAGGTTTGCGAGGAGTTTAAGATAGGGTACAGTCAGTTAACGCCGACTGCAGTTCTTACGTTCGAGGCGTTTCACCATAGGTTGTCTTTAGTTGGTTTGCCTATGACCGTGAGTATGTTCAAGGCGTTATTTACGTTACATCGTCCCAATATGACGCCTTTCTTTTGTTTTCATCCTCGAGTTCCTTATCGATTCGTGAAGAGTGTGAAGTTATCTTTGGGGAAATGGAAAACCCATTTTTTTTATGTGAGGGCTCCCACTTTTGAAGTTCCTGTTGTTTGGAATCCTTCGTGCGAGAGTTTCACGATAACGGCGAATATGGCGAAACGGATTGAAGAGTCGGGATTGTGTGACGTGGAATTTGACCCGAGGGTTTTAATACCAAAGCCGAAGGGTCAGCGCTGTATATCCTTTTGTTGCCTTGACTTGTGTTTTTTTTTTTTTTTTTTTTTTGTAGTTC